ATTAGTTGGCGGTAGGGGGGATTTCCCCAATCCTCTGGTAATGTGCCAAAAAAGGGATGTATTTTTTGTCCTGACTGATGCAATTAGTCTATGCCAAGATTCCTTCAGAGCCGCCCTTTTCTTTTCTTTTAGAAGAGTCTTATATTGTGCCTTCAACTGCTTTAAGCAGTGAGTGTGAGCCTCAGAAGGGGCATTTTTATCAATTTATCAGAGAGTTCTTTATGCAGCCATGCTGGTTTCTTTGGAGAGCTGTTATTTTTCCTCTTTGTTGGTATTGTGCTAGACTGGGCTTTTATTATCTCACTTTTCAAAATTTCCCAAGCTTCTTGAGTTTTTTCCCCCTTGAGGATTCTCATCCATGGAATCCTTCCCAAGCCCTCTCTAAGTTTATTGAAATTAGCTCTCTTAAAGTCCAAGACTCTAGTTTGACTGTTCTATTGCTTGTGCTTCCATAATGTTGAATTCCAATATTGCATGATCACTTCCTCCCAAGGTTCCTATGGCTTCAACACCTTTTATCATTTCATCTCTGTTAGTGAGAATTAGATCCAAAATGGCTAATCCCCTAGTTCCCTTCTCTACTTTTTGGGAGACAAAGTTGTCTGCTAGGTTTGCCAGGATGGGCAGAGCCCTGATGCTGGTGGAGTGAGGCAGCGGCGGCCAGAGCAGACCCTTCCCCATTTGGAAGCACTGTATAGGCACTGACTTTTTATGCAAACTTTTTATGCTTGGGAAACGGAGCCTTCTGCTCCGTTTCTAAGTGCGCACTGGCAACCACGCAGAGCTTCCAGTCTCTGTGTTTCAGCGCCTATGGAGCATTTGAAAATGAAGCAAATGCTTGGTTTCCAAGTGCCCCATAGGCGCTCAAACTCTTTTTACATGGACGGAGACCTGATAGAGACTGGAAGCTCTGCGAGGCTGCCAGTGGGGCACTTGAGAAATGGAGCATTTTGTTCCGTTTCTAATCATGCATTTGCATGCAGATGGAGCTTCCAGTTTCCCCAAGGTGAAAACTGTTTCAGCAGTAGTAGAAAGGAGTTGGGGGCGGGAGCAAACACCGTGAGAGTTCAGGCTCCCATTCTCTGCAAAAGAGGATCGGTACCTGAACTCATGCGATATTACGGGCACCCAGGAGCTTCCATTGACTCTCCTCTCCCTTAAAGGCAGAAACCGTGGTAGAGACGAGATGTATCTTTTCAAGGTGAGTCTGGCGCAGCAGGAAGGGAGGGGGAAGCATGAGGTATCTTAGTGGGTTGGGGAGGCCTTGGGGACCTATTCCATCACTAGCCCCCCCATGGCCTTCCCCACCCTGAGATACCTCATGTGCACTTAATGAGCTGCATTCGTTTTAACGAGCAAGGGAGTGATCTCGTCCGAGGTACGAGATTCACTCCCACGAGTTTTTGAGTTACGAGTGGAATGTGCAGGCTCCATTACACTCGTAACTCGAGGACTACCTGTAGTCTTCCGTGCTTTGGCAGAAAATAGTGGGGCAGCTAATGAAAGTGCCAGAGGAAGGGCTTCTGCAAGGTTGTGTTCCAGAGAGGAAATCAAAATTAATTAAATAGCACACTCTTATCAATTTTGGGCATCTAGCCAGCCTTATTATAACCATTGTCTGCTGAAGGACAAAGTGATCCATTGCATGTTGTTTTGCTCATTGAAGCAGAAGTGGAAAAAATGCAATTTTTCCTAACTATAGCCCCCAGCATTCCTCACCACAGCCATACTGGCTAGACCTGCTGAAATCTGTAATGCAACAAGACTTGGGGGATCATTGATTCTCTACCCCTGTAGTAAAGATATGCCCCTGCCTGTCTTACAGTGCTTAATTTACCCTTGGTTCTCTCTGTGCCTTTCGTGTCTACTCTTCTAGGGCTACCTGTTCATTTCCGTGCTGGTGAACTCCAACAGTGAGCTGATCCGCCTCATCAACAATGCTATCAAGAATGACCTGTCAAGTCGCAATCCCACCTTCATATGCCTGGCCCTGCATTGCATCGCCAATGTTGGCAGCCGTGAAATGGCAGAGGCCTTTGCTTCTGAGATCCCCCGAATCCTGGTGGCTGGGTAAGGCAGAGTCAGTGTACGAAGGACCATGTGGGGTAAGATGGGTTGTTTTCATTATGGTATTTAGGTGCACCAGAGGCTGATTTGTAACAGAAGACATAATTTTATTCACCCGCATGGCATTATTTATACCATTCTGACCCTATCCTAGACCCTCCAGTTTCACTAAGGCTAGAACTGCCAGAATTCCCTGCCAAAAGGAACAGTGAGAATTCTAATAATTATACCCCAAAATACCCCAAAAGCCTAAGTTTGGGTAGGAATTAGCAGTGTTCAGTAACATCTGGAGACAGTACAGTAATACTCAATGTGTCTCAATGGAAGCTTCTGGGAATTGTGGTTCAGCAACATCTGAAGGGTCTCAATTACTCATACTTCAAATTGGGGAAGACTACAAAAGGCTTTCCAATACCTCAAGTAACAAAGTATTTTCTCCATTATCAGCTGACTGATCCTTTTATCTGGTAATGTCAAAGATTAAACCTAAAACCTTCCATTAGCAAGTCATTCTCATTCCTCCCCTAAGATACCAACTATCTGACCCTTTTGTTTGTCTGTATTACACCTCAGTGATACCATGGACAGTGTGAAGCAGAGCGCTGCCCTCTGCCTCTTGCGCCTCTACAAGACTTCACCTGATTTGGTACCCATGGGAGAGTGGACATCACGTGTGGTGCACCTTCTGAATGACCAGCACATGGTATGTTGTCCTCTTCCGAGTTCCATTGTTAGGACATGAAATCATTTGTCAACCTCACAATAATTTGCATATGGTATGTCCTCCTCACTTGTTACCATAGAGACCCCTCAATCTTTATTTCTTATTCCTTTAAAACCAGTGTCCAAGCTATTCAAAATATAAGTGTATTTATACCATACATTTAACTATTTTAGTTAAAAATCTGTTAGATGTATTTGTACAACTAATAAAGTTTGATTAATGTTAATCTTGGTCCTAGTTCTTCTGGCTTATTGCGAATATCTAGTTTATTTACTTAATTTATGGTTTGACATACTATACATTATGAATGCAGAAAATGATTTAATAACAATAAGTGTTGTGAACACAAGTTATGAGTAGTCAGATTTTTATATTGGCCTTCTTCCAACATGGTGCCCTTCAGATGTTTTGGCCTTCAGCACTCATCATTCCTATCCTAGCTGGTAGTCCTCACATAATGGTCACAATTGGGACTTGCAACTCACTCACTAAGCAACTGTCAACTCTGCAACGAACCTGGCTGAAGCCATCTTGCTCGTTTTCGGTTGCCACAGGAATGGGAACCAAGGTCATTTCTGTTCGTTAGACTGGGGGTTGAGCCTAATGTTGGAAAGCCCGCCAAACCGTTCTATTAGTTTCTGGGGTGGGAAGTTTAACTTTGTAATACTGTAACTTTTTAGAGGGAACTTTAGTCTTGGTTTCACTTTTCACTGTGCCAATACTTTGTAACCAATACACTTTGTAACCAATAAACATGTTCTTAGAGGAAAACTCAAGCCTCCAAGTTCTTTAATTGGTCTCATCTATCGGAACCATGACATTAAACCAAGACTCCTTGAATCTTTAATACTCGGGGTCCTGAGCCCCAGTTGCCTACCAACACCTGTAGGAGGACCACGAAGACTCAGGGAAGAAGGACTTCCAGTTTGGCGTTCGACGAGACGGGTGGAAGAAGCCGGGGCTCCGGCTTCTCAGCCCGATTTCGTTCTGCCCAGCGACCCTAAAGGGTCGGAAAGTTGCCCTGGAGGGGCAACGAAGAAGGGATGCCTCAGGAGCCCGGACTAGATGGCGGTCAGTCCAGGCGGACTGAAGAAACCCTCTGAAAGGACGGAGGAAAGGCTGCCGGGTGAGTCCAGGCAGCCCAAGCCGTCGCCAGCCAGAAGGAAAGCGAGGAGTCGCGGCGCTCTGCCAGCTGATTGTCAACAGTCTGCTGAAAATGGGTGAGCCAGTGTTTTTTCCTTTTCCTTTTGGACTTAAAAACGTTGATGCCCTGACTGGGAAGAGCTAAAAAGTAAAGACCCCAGAAGGATTAAGACCTAAAGGCGGCGAGCAATTACAAAGGGGGAAGATTTTTAAGGAATACAAAAGAACTTTCAAAAATTGAACTCAGATTGATTTAAAGAAAGACTACTTAATCTACAAGAGGTGGAAAATTTTTTTTAGATATAATCTCAAGGCTAAATAACGTATAAAGAACCTTAAAAGAAAAACTTTGTAATAATCTTTTAAAACCAGATATTGAGAAAATAGTGCACAAGGACATCTAGTGGTAAAAGAAGAAACTACAGTACTATTAAACAATAAAAGACTCTGAAAGTATTTGACCTTGAGACAACACCTGGTGTAAACAAAGTGCCTTTGTGTGAGTCTACAACTGAAAAGACTTCTCAAAACTATATTTGTTGACTCTGTATATAACTAAAACAGGAATTATTTGGAGACAGCGAATGCTTTACATCTGAGACCCGACTGGAGGAGTTGGATTTGGCCTAAAGTAGTTGGCTCATTCTTTTGGGTTGGATTTTAGCCTAAGATAGTTGGCTTTTCCCCCCTTTTTTTCTTTGCCTGCTGCATTTTGTTTTTTCTCCTTGAGATATTGGATTTAGCCTAAAGTAGTTGGCTCCTTTTACAGTTTGGATTTTACCCTTAGTTGGCTGGAAAAATGAGTGCATCAAACATCACCAGACTGACTTCCGGTTCCGGATCGCGGCATCTGCAGCCGTGCGGACAGACTGCTCTCTTCGCCGGCTGCTTTCTCTCTGCCGGTAGACCCTTAATCGGGTCAAAAAGTTGCCCTGGAGGGGCGACTACCGTTGAGGCCCTCGTCTACTGTGGAAGGGCGGCAGCCCCTTCCGCGGTCCGAGAATGCTCCTTAAGGCTGATGGAGGAAAGATCGGCCAGTAAAATGGCTGATCACTTTGCTGCTATAACCAGAAGTCAGAAGAACATCTAAGCGCAAGAACCACCGTGTTTGATCCGGGTGAGATTTTTTTTTCCTCTCTTAGTCCTCCTTTCTTTTTTGCTTCCTGTAAAAAGCATTTTTGGAACTATTTCCCTGTTTTAAGAAAGCGGCGTTTGTGAGTGTGGGAAAAGAAGCTTAAATGGACTGAAAATTAACTTTAATTGTATTCTTTACTTTTCCATCTACTTTGGGGTCTTGAAAAAATTGCTATTATTGAACTTATTACTGGATTTAGTCTACATGTGAAGAATATTTTTTTTTCCTTTTTTTCTTCCTTTTCTGATCTTGTTAACGATATTTTGGTGTCTGGGAAGAGATTTTACAGTCTACTGAGGACACCTTGTGGAGAAAGTTAAAATTGCAATTGTCTTTTTTCCCTGTTTGATGTTGAGACTGGCTCATCATAAAAGGGAAAAGACAAAGAAATTCAGCAGCTGTATTTGTGGGGGTGGACACTGGTTAAATGTTTTTTTGCATACAGCCTCCACTAAAAGATAACAGGACTGTTTCTAATCACTATCGAAATGGAGAAACCCTATTCACAACTCAACTGTAAACTTATATTGGAAAAAATGTATGAAGCCACTGAACAAATACGTTTACAAATAAAAGAGAGTACTACAGAAATAAAAAACAGAAATTTTACTTTGAACCTACAAACTGACCTCCAGATTCTATCTGAACATTCTACAGACCAAAAAACAACAGAAGCGGAACCAATCAACATTAAAGAAGATTCTATTTCATTTTATACACAACCTAATAAGATTTCTGATGAACAAAAAATGACTGTAATTAAATCACTCACAATCTCAAAACCAACAGAAATGGATGTACAAATACAACTAATTGAGAATCAGGATAACTTGGATAATCAACTACTAACTACAAAATTGGATATAATTGAGTGTTCTACTCAACAGATCCAAATGTCGAGACTTGAATCTCTAAAACAACAAGGGACTATCTACAAAGGAGTCAGGTCTCCAAAACAGAGGAGGGGACGCTCTTTTTTGACCCAAATGATACTACAAGGCACAATGAGAGACTTATTTGTTGATATTGAGGCTCTGTTATGGAAACCTACTTGGCATAAAAAGAAAGCTAGAATAAGATTTAAGAGTGTGATCCAAAACTCTACATAACAGGTTTAAAAGGCTTTCTAGATACGGATTGATTTATGGTTTAAGATAGGTGAATAAGACATTAGATTGAATAAAGATTAATTAAATATTTGAACTTAGTAAGAAGATGTTTGTTTGTGTATTAACATGTTTGTTGTGGATATAGCAATTCTGGGTGGGGGTTAAATGAGTTTGATATAGATATTGATTGATTGATAGATTATAGATTTAAAAAATAGAGTAGAAATGTATTTTTTGGAACAATATTTTTGTTGTTAGAAAGGATAGTTATTTGGTAATGAAAGAAGAATAAGAGGGATTTTTGAAAAAAGAAATGATATTAATAAATGATTACTGACTATGTTAAGGAAAAAGGGAATGGAGAGACACCTGAAGTGTTAATAACATTTTTATTGTAGCGAAACAGAATATGGTAATTGAAAATAGTAAAGCTTAATACAGGATTTGGATTCATATAGATGAAATGTTATTGATGATTTTTTTGATTGACAACTGTATTGAAATACATTAATTATAATGGTAAAATGACATCTCAACAAAACCTGATTAAAAAGAGTTTTTTAGATTTTTATTCTAAGTTATATGCTTCTGAAAAAATACAAGTTGAACAAATAGATAATTACTTACAGGGGGCACACTTTCCTAGATTGTCAGATAATCAAAGGGAAAAAATGAATTGCCCAATTACATTGGAGGAGATAAAGGGGGCAATTAAGCAATTAAAACTTGGTAAGGCACCAGGTACAGATGGATTTACAGCAATTTATTATAAGATGTTATCGGAAAAAATGATAGAATCATTAAGGGAATTGTTTAATAGTATTTTGTTGGGTGAAGCGGTACCTCCCTCCTGGAGAACTGCTTTCATATCTTTAATACCTAAGGAGGGTCAGGATTTGACTCAACCTAAGAATTATAGAACTATATCTTTACTGAATACAGATTATAAGATTTTTTCAAAAGTACTGGCAAATAGATTAATGCAAGTGTTGAATCAATTGATTCATAGTGATCAATCTGGATTTATAACTGGAAGATATATGAAACATAATGTAAGACAAATTATTAATTTAATTAATAAATTAATTAATTTATTAGGGTCTGCCTAATAGAGGGTCTGCCTAATAGAGGGTCTGCCTAATAGAGGGTCTGCCTAATAGAGGGTCTGCCTAATAGAGGGCAATTCCATTAAGAGTGTGTATGGGAGGGGTAGATATGGCGGGAGCAGAGGGCCATATCACACTAGGGGAGGGCGCACCCGCTGTTTACGAGCTGTGGCGCGCTCCGGCCCCCATGGCTCTTCTTGCAACCTAGGGGGTTTAGGATC